ATGTGCACAACACTTCAAGAAGAATCCATTGAACTCGTAAATGCAACCAGTAGCTTTCCTGGACAACCACCAAGGAATTATGTTCCATATTCAAACACGTACAATCAAGGATGGAGGGATCATCCAAATATTAGCTATGGGAATCGACAAGTGAATCTAGCTATGGGAATCGACAAGTGAATCAACCTATGCCAAGGTCTTCCTAATAACAAATGACATGCATCTATCTCCACCACATCACACAAAATATGGTCTTTGTAGATAAGTCCAATGGAGAAACTAATTAAAGCCAGTCTAACTTATACAGTTTGGGATGTTTATCAGTCTACAAACCCAGTTTCTTAACGACCTCCTTAGCCACTACATTCTCGCAACTCCCAAAATCAATAACAAACTTGCAGATTCTTTCCCCAATAGAAAATGTAGACTGGAAAATATTATTATGCAACCAGTCACTCTTACTCTCCAGGGTAATCAAAAAACTCTGTCTCACTACCAATGCTTGACCCACATCACCAACAATAAATTCCTCCTCCTATGGTGTTTCTTCAACGTCTCCACTATCAAAGATATGTGCCCCATCAAAATTGCCGTACCCCTCATCAACGAAGAGTCCTCTACACAAATTTTGGGACATTCAAATTGTCTATGACCCATACCTCCTCAAGTAAAACAGGAGTACCACCTGTTGGATGTGTTGACTATTAAACAGGATTTGTCCTAGAAGAACCAACCTGGCTAGGATTGCTAGGACATGTTATCTGCTACTGTAGATTACTGGAAGAACCCCCTGTAGTTAAAGGACCTATATTTTATCTGGATCGCTATTTCTTTATCTGTATCGCCCTATGATGCGCCTCAGAAACTGTCACAGGATCAAACATATTCAATATGTCTTATATTTGGGGACGAATACCACCCACATATCGCGACACCAACTGTTCTTTTGTCTCTATTACCTCATTCCTAGTAATTAACATATAAAACTCTGTCGTATAGTCAACAATCATCTTCATTCCTTAACGCAAATTCTGTAATCGGTGATATATGGTCCAAACATAATTATAGGGCAGAAATTGCTTCTTCATGTGCCTCTTTAATTTATCCCAAGATGCAATCTTGGCCTTCCCTAATCTGGATCTAGTCACCTTTGTCTACTACCACCACGTCGCTGCTCGTCCACGAAATCTCATTGCAATGAGAGGCACACTTTTACCAATAGGAACCTCCTTAAATTTCAAGATCTCTTCCATTACAGTCACCCAGTTCAAGAATTCTTCTGGACTTAATCCATCATGGAATTCAGGAATATCAACCTTAAACCCTGATTCCCGGCGCATGTTCTCCTTCTGGCCACCTCCTCTCTGTCAGGCTGGAGGATCGATTGGATGATCAAGTGGCGCAAATGGATTTTCATCTTCAGAATCCTCAAACGGCTGGGCCATAGGCACATGTTGCTGTGGAGCGAGTGCAGTGATTTGCTGGGTCAGCAACTCTACTTGTTGACGTAACTGTGCGATCTCATCACGTCTATTCACCTTCTCTACTTGGGCTTCAAGAGCTTCTGGACGTCTCCTTGGTGGTATGGTGAAGGAACGAACCTGCTTTGATACCAACTAACGTAGCGAAAGCTTATAGGAAAGATGGAAAAATCTCACAAAGAATTTCAAAGAATAGAAACTCCAGAAAATTTTTATTTCTTTCAACCAATGAGGTCTCAAATGGCTTGCAATGCTTTATATAGCGAAAACTCTAAAAAAATTCGAAAAAATCACATAATAATAAAGAAAGATTTGTTTTGTTCCAAAAATGAAAAAAATCGAGAAAATGACAAAATTTGAAAGTCCTAATTTTTAGGATCATCCTTTAAAAACCGGAATTCAAATATAAATTTATTTGATTGAGATATACCCAAAACAAAAATTACCAAAGAAGGAAAAAACGCATAAACGAATGCCTAAACGAATGAATTTGCCCGAAATTGGCCATGCATCAAGGGCAAAGCCGCCAAGTCTTGTTCATTGGTCAGTTTCCATTCAAATTTGACTAACATCCCGCCAAAAATGGACGAGCCCAAAATTTCTCCAAAAACTAGGAAGTTGCCTTTTTCTGTTTGCACCGGTCTCAATTTGCCATAAAATCTAATTCTTTCTGCACCACATTAGATATTAACCTAGATTGTACAAGAAACTCCAAATATTTGAGTCGGAAAGTAATTTATAACCAAGAAAAGCCACTAAAGGCAATATTGTTCAATGTATTTAGATTTAGGGTTTTAAAAATACCAGATCTAAATAGATCAAACAAGATCGAAGTGTGAAAAAAGCTTTTCTTGTGTGAAATATTCAATTGAAGGTTCAATAAATCTTCCAATGACTAGATCTTTCAAAAATAGATCTGATCTTAGAAGATCGAACCAAAATCAACTATGAAAATTGATGTTTCACATTCAGTCGACCAGTGAAGGTCCAAGAAGAGACAACTCGAGCTCTGGTACCACTATTATAAAAATATTACACTTCGAAGATTCATACAAACCTTTCAGAGAAGTTTACAACTAGATTCAGAACACTAAAGGCATCAAGATATCACAAAACGAGCTCATATTATATTGCACCATTTTGTATCACAGTAGCCACAAACCTACACCCTCAAATGACTCATTGAAGTTGCTTCTATGGACCAGAAGACCTCAACCCCCAAACACTCTTCTCACCACAAAAACTCACAAGGATTTACTCTGAATACTCAATTAAAACGTCCAACGAGAGGTCGAAGACGAATAAAAGATAGAGAGAAAACCCTAGTCTCTCAAAAGAAAATCAAACGTTTGGAACGACTAGGACAACAAAAGAAGCCCTTATTTTTACCCCTAACCATCACCGTTGATCTTACATTGAGATCAACGGTCTAGAGCAACTAGCAATTAGTCGATAACCATTACAATTAAAGGTAAATTTTGGAGACAAGATTTCAACCATTTATATTGGATCCGAATTTTTGGGGCAACTCATGAAATTACGAGGCGGTAGCTTGCCAACCCACTGCACTATAAAAGCCCATTTATCATCATAGCCTAGATTAGACTGGACTTGACATCACATCCCAACACTATAGATTTGAAATTGAAAGACTAGCAAATATTAAAATTCATTGAAGACGCAGCTACCATATGCAAAAGCCAAGGATACAAGTGTAACTTCCCAAAAGATTAACCCACAATAATTTGGAAAAAATCTAAAGTCATATAAAAAAAGATTTATGATGAAGGTATATAAAAGGAAAGATTAACCCACAAATAATTTGGAAAAAATCTAAAGTCATATAAAGAAAGATTTATGATAAAGGTAAATAAAAGGAGATGTTTCCAACGACAAATGTGCATCTTTCCAAGTGCTCAAATCCCATAAGTTCCAAATTCTTAAAAGCTGAAAGCTTAGTTTTAATCAATTAAAACCATCGAAAAAAAGTAGATATCGCTTACAAAAAGTAAACCACAAAGGGGTTAGAACTTTGACATGTGGAGTAGGAGAAATTCATCTATTTATATCCTCAACATATTGTCCAAACTTTTTTTTTTCGAAAAAAAAAATAGTCTTTTTCAAAAAGTGGTCGAATAAGACTAGCAAATTTAGCTTTCTCCAATCAACTTCCCACCAACCACTATTTTTATTATGAGAAGATATCATTCTTTAATTTTTTTGGTAAAAGCATGCCAAAATCTTGCTTTCAATAGGTTAGTGTCGGCTAGGCATATTTATCCTTTAATTTAATCCTACCTTTGATATTTACTATTTATTAGAACCGTCACTTGTAAGAGACAAAGAAGGAATAATGTTGTTCAAAATTAAATATTATAAACATTTTTAAAATTTTGTTTGTTTTATCATAATTTAAAACTCTGGTAGACATGATTAATACTGATGTGTCTATGTAAATATAAGGTTGTATTTACGTCATATATATATATATATATATATATGTTAGCGTGCTTTAAAATTAATTACAAAAATTTAATCGATTTTGTTTTTGCTCTTTTTTTTTTCTTATTTAAAAATACAAGTTGTAAATGAGTCTTTTTACTTTCTATTTAAATGAAAATTTTGGACAAAAATCGTGATTAGAGATAGTATGTGCTAATTAATGAGAAAATATATTTAATTGAAAATTAAAATGTTGATTTTTTTTGCTATTAAACTAAACAATTTCAAAAAATTCACCAATAACATAAGTTGTGAGAAAGAATATAATTTAGAGTTAATTTCACTAATGGTCACTCAAGTTCAAGCAAATTTTTAAATTGACCATTGAAGGATTTTCTTGATCTATTTAATCATTAAAGTTGAATAATTAAAAATCATGAAATTGACCAACTGACCTCTGGTTTTAACTCTATCAAAATCTTTTACTACTTATTAATGATGAAAAATGGAATTAGATATAAAGGGGACGATTTAATTTTTTTTTTTTTCTTTTTTAACTAAAGATGAGGTTTTTCTCTCCTAAGAATAACATTTTATTTTCAACATGACATGGATACATGATTGTTAGTCAATTCCAAGGTTTAAAGGGTCAACGTCGGATTTAGAGTGGATGCCGCTAAAGAAATGACCAATTATATAATATCACTTTAACTTTTGTGACTAAATGAGTCACAAAAATACTTTAAAGACCAATTTGAACTTTCATTTTGAACTTTGGTGACCACTCTTGAGATTAACTCGGATATAACTTTATGGAATCTAATGGTATGATGAGGTGGTGTCCTAACATAAGACGAAAGAGGAAAAGCAAGAAAAGTATGACAGCGGCCTCCTCTATATTCCGAACACTGTAACTGCTTTTCTAGGTCAATCCCAAAATTCCCAAGTGCAGGCAAAAGAATGGCAAAAACAGCAGAATGGGTAGTAGTACCACAGGCAAAGGCAACTGTCGAGATGAAGAAAGAATTGGAAAGAATGGTAAATGCTATAGTGGAGGAGGAGGATTATACAGTAGAGGCAACTGATCATGCTATGGAAATTTTGTGGGCTCTTAAGGATTTGAAGTTGAAGGCTGTGATGAAACCCCAAGAATTGTTGGGACTTGATCATTTTTGTTCCTCTACAGTTCCTCCTCCTCCAGAATTTAGATGTCCAATTTCTGGAGAACTCATGAAAGATCCTGTTATCTTGGCCTCTGGTCAGGTTAGACTCCTTTTTTCTGTTTTCGTGTCGAATTATTAATTTATCTGGGCTGTGCTTACTGGAAAATAATTTTAATGTTGTTCAAAGATGTCTCATTTCTTTTGAAATTCTTGCGAGTCAGATTGTCATTATTCAATTTGTATATGTATTATTTTCATTTTGGGTCCAATTTATTTTATTCTTCTTATATTTTCATCAAGTTATTGTTGATGGTTGTGCTGTACGATTTGGACTGGTTTTACAGACATATGATGAGCCATTTATCCAAAAATGGTTAAAAGATGGTCATCAGACATGTCCTACAACTGATCATGTACTGCCTCATACTCTGCTCACCCCTAATCACTTGGCCAAGAAAATTATTACTAAATGGAGCGAGGAGAACACATGTGAGATGTCCAGTGCTGTAATGGAGGGTGACGAGGAATATGTAGAAGACGCAAACTTACAGCAGTTTACTACAGTTCTCGAACGGCTTTCCTCGTCTTCTCTTTCGGATCAGAAAGGGGCGATCAAAGAGACTCGGGTGCTCACTAATCGTTCGCCTTCTTATCGTGCTCGTTTTCAAGATGTCATTCCCCGATTATTCAATCCAATCTTGCTTGAAAGGGCTAATTCTGATATTGATCTCCAGGAAGATTTGGTTGCGACCATTTTGAATCTCTCTGTTCATGACAGCAACAGAAAGCTAGTCGGGGAAACTACATTGGCCATTCATTTTCTTATCGAGTCCTTGAAAAGCGAAAGAATTGTAACGAGGAGCAATGCTGCTGCTGCCCTGTTGGTATTATCAACCCTCGACTCAAATAAACACGTTATTGGGAAATCAGGAGCTATTAAGCCCCTGATCGACCTCGTGGAAGAAGGGCATCCATTGGCAATGAAGGATGCTGCTGCAGCAATTTTAAGTTTATGCGCTGTTGTGGAAAATAGGGGTTGGGCTGTGACTTTAGGGGCAGTCACTGTAGTCACAAAAAAAGTTATGAATCATATTCTCATTGATGAAATGTTAGACATTCTTGCACTGCTGTGTAGCCATCAGAAGGCTGTCGAGGAGCTTGGAGAGCTTGGGGCGGTATCGTGCCTGCTCGACATATTAAGGGAGAACATGAGCGAACTTAACAAGGAGAAGTGTGTTGCAATCTTGTATACGATGTGTTTCAGTGATAGAACAAAGCTGAGGGAGATTCTGGCAGTAGAGAGCGCTTGTGAAACGCTCTCTAACGTTGCACGAACAGGAACTTCGAGGGCTAAAAGGAAAGCAAATGGCATTCTTGAGAGGCTAAATAGATTTGCTTTCACTTCATACACTGCTTAAAATTGATTATTCTCAAAGCCCTGTACAGTTTTAGCATCCACTTTTGTATATTGCCAACTTCTTCCTGTTTCATACAGAGTAATCCTGAATCTTGTTTCCTTATGGAAAAGATTATAATATTTTTTGAGTGAATTTGTGTATATATTCATCGTTCCATCACACTGTCATTTATGCAAGATTACATACCTATTTAGAAAGAAAAAAAACAGAAACATGCATACAACAAGACAATATATTTAGACTTCGATTTTCGATCAAGTTTAGGACTAAAAGTAGGTGTTGAATTCATTGGCAAATGGCAACGAAGGTCGTACAACATGCATTTACTAAAACGCTAAATTCAATTCACTCAGTCATATCAATAAGTAGAGATGCAATTACAAATTCATGTTTACCAGATCAAGGTCCCTGCTGTTCATACTGATTTTTGCATCAATGTGACGATTTGGAAATATAAAAAAATTACTATCCATTCTATCTCACCTGAGTCTCTCTTCAAGTAGTATCCAGCTCGTTCAATATGATTTCTGGCACTCGAACTCATGTTGCACAAGGGGGAGCAATGCACCGGGAAAAGAATCCCAACATTTTCTTCTGCGTTGAAACAAATAGGGAAAATAAATAAGAGGATATGATCATTGATATCGCAGCTGTTTAGAAGTGCAGAATAACAGAAGTGAAGTTCATACAATTTACTTCTATGGTAAAATTAGTAGGGAGGAAACACAGTAGATGGTACTTACACGTTTGGTCTTCTGAAGAAGATCAGGAGGAATTTTGTAAAGATCTTCGTCCACTGGTTTCGCAGAAGTAATTATAGATTGCCGTGGAATAAATTCGGCAGACTTGTTAATATTCTTCTGAGACAAAGGCTGACTTCTCCGCTGTTCCATTGCCTCGCGCACCTTATCTTGCTTTCTCTGTTCCGTGACATCTGCATAGCGCTTGGCATTTCCCCTTGTCTGCAATGTTATATGTTTTTACTCATCAGTATCCACTTCGAGAAATTCATAATTCAAGGACAATTAAGTTATTTTCCATTAGCTAGTCAGCAAATGTTAATGCAAATGCAAAGGACACATAGTTTGATCCATTTTAGTTTCCTAACATGATTAAAGAGTTAACTTAGTCGATGAGAACAAAGAAATTATTCACAAAACAAATGTCGGTTTGGATGAGAACAAAGAAATTATTCACAAAACAAATGTCGGTTTTTCCTAAATCCTAATACTTAAAACCGAAAATTTGGGAAGCTGCTTCTAAAAGAGATGGCATTTTTCTTATTTATACAGGTACCTCAGAAATCAGATTGTTTAACCACAAATTTTACATCAGAAACGGAATAATAGTTGCTCAAAACTTAAAAATTGCACATATTGCTTAAATCACCAGATTATTCGCCTAGCTGCATAGATGGGTTCTACGGGGAATGGATCAAAACATAGTGAGTAGTAAGAAAACGTCATAAGTTCACATTTAAAGATACTTTCAGCGAACACAATTCTCAACATATACTAATCTACCACAAACTCCACATATGTTTTTCATAGTTAGTCCCGATCACGGATTAAACAACGGTACCGCCATTGTTAAATGTTAGACATGAATCCAGATACATAACCCACAACTCTATACAGTAAGCAGGTGTTTCAAATCGTAATATCGTTTTAGATATTGTCCTCACGCCCATTATCATGTGCACAATTCATTTGAGAATAATGCTACAACTCCATGGTGCTACGTAATAGACTAAATAAAATGTTAAATTAAATGACTCATTTCATTTCACTTAATATTTAATGCCACATTAGCACCGTGTTATAATCCCAACAGGCTAAATAGCATTATGGATAATCTCGCGACTCTATGGCAAGACATTTTCCTACTTTAGTACAATGTTTAACCACGTTTTAGATTTTGATAGGAAAAAAAGGACAAGAATCCTATCTGCCCGTGAGAGGTCAATCTTCTTGAGATAGGAAAAAAACAATGGCAAAAAAGAGTGCTCCGTAGAAAGACCTTTCGTGGAGGAACACCATAAACAGCCTGGGACGGCGGTTTCTCATACTCAACAGAGTACAGATCAGTGGCGGCGGCGCCCCAAGAACCACCGGTCGCATTATACGAAACACATTCCGCCGAGCAGGAGCAGCGCATCAGGCCGGCTTGCCTTGCGCACTCGAAATACTGAGTAATTGGAAGCTCATTTGTCTTATCCCAGTCACCAAATGCCGGAATCTGCCCACTCTTCCTGCAATATTCCTGTAACCCACAACCAAGCAAAACAGTAAATTCATTTTAACACTAATTTCTGTACAGAAAATGCAGAATCCTAGAAACAGATCAAGATTTAGTGGACTCACTACACCCATAATTTCAGAGCTTTCAGCAGAAAATAACTATAAGAAGTTAAACTTTTTCTCCTTTTTTATGTCCAAGAATAGTAGAATCCCCAAAATTGTATCAACATCAAGGAGTTAAAGTACTGTTTGCCAAGAAAATGAATAGAATAGGGACAAGAGCCTTTTGGAGTTGTGTGTGAAGTGCGGAGTAGAAGGGAAAAGGTAAAAGAGTCAAACTTTTGGGAGTGGAAAATTGAGTAACTTTTAGCACAAAGTCCAAGAGAAACTCTGTGGTCTGTGCCAAATGCTGATAAAGAAAACTTTCTATCCTTGATTTCCGCTGCAGAGTACGACCCTCTAATTTTCAACCGTTTACACTAAATCTGGGAGCTTGATGAACATGGAGTTTCCCACCGTCTTTTCAACTGTCGTTTGAACATGTTTAGTCACACTATCTATCTGTAATTTTTGCCCCCATTTTGTTTTATTAAAAATCAAAATTTTAATAAATTTTAATAACTTTTTTGATTGAAAACTAATAAAAATATATTCACCCATTAAAATTATAATTTTTTTTCTTATTAACCACACATTCTTCAATAAAATAATATTAAACATAATTTCAATTTTTTTTCTTTTTAACCACATATTTTTCAAAAAAATATTATTCCAACCATTAAAATTTCAAATAATGGGGGTCAAACAGGGGTTAAATAAATCCCATAAAATTTATGGATGAAATTGAGTTTGAAGAAAAATGAATTTTAAAAATTAGAGCCAAATAGACAAGTTGTTTCTTAAGAGTTAAATTAGGTTGCAGTAGAGATCAACTAAATTGGGTTTGGAAATCACACTGGCTTTTGACTTTTGAGGAACACTAGCCTTGCAGTATTTTAGTTATTTTATTGTACAAACGACCATTTTTTATCTAGTAGGAAAGCATAAACAAAACGAGCAATGCTCAACAACAAGTTTGCAAGGTACAATCGAGCTTTAAGCATTACCTTTTGGATTTCTCTTCTTTACCAGGCCTGGAAAAGGCCTGGTAAAGCCTCCCCCTCACAATGAGGTAGGTCCGACCTCAATAAAAAAAACCCCTCAAAAAATGTACCCCCCCCCCCCCCCCCAAATTGTGAGAGAGCCGAGTACCGGCTTGTGAACCAAAGCCTGGTACCCCAGCTCGGCTCATACCTTTTTGGTATGTATCAATAATCCTCACCATTCAAAATGATTAATTGTTTTTAGAAAATAACATATCAATGGAAATGGAAATGGAAATGAAAATAAAATATGCATGGACGAGTTGGCCTATGCGAGTCCTGAGCTTACTGGATGAGACCTAATATCGCTCGTTCTAAAAAGATATGTGATCTATAAAGAAGCGTAATTGAATTGGGCCATTTTTATGTTTTTTACTAAAAATTAGCAAGTGCCATTTTACTAAAAATAGAAAAAATATATATTGATTTATATAGCCCAAAAATTAGAAAAGATAAGACGTGCCATGGAATGACAATGTCTAGAAGTGGGTACTACTGTTGAGGATATTAAGGGTGTGTTTGTTTTCCATTATTGGGAGAAAAATAGAGTAATAAACAGTATTTTTTAGAGAGTGTGTGATTGAAATTTAAAGTAATTTTATTGGTTTATGTGTAGAATATTTTATTGGGTAAATGTGTGGTAAAAAAATATTACTGTAGCAAACAATTTTTTTGGAATAATAGTAGACCAACAGTGGCTAAGAGACATTTAATAAAAAATTTGGAGCGGATAATTTGGGATTTTGAGAGAGGTTGCCAAGAGGATAATTTATGCTCAAACTTATAAGGTCGGTAGGAAATTAGTCTTAACTTCACACGTGACTCTTAAATATTAATTTTGGAATGCAGTTTTGTTATTGCACATGATTTTTACACAAATGTGTATTAATTGAGCAAGTGACATACGCGTGAAAGTCATAGAGAACATAATGATAGAAATTACATTTTTTTTTATTTATTCTCGAACTCACTCACATATTTTTCTCGAATTATTTTGTAGTACTATACGTGTTTATCGTCCCGTCTACATTACAGTACACGTGATATTAAGATCCATTTAATTGGACCATCACCACATACATATGGGATAAATACAAATAGTGCTACATAACATTATTCTAATTTCCTATTTCAAACTCCAAATAATTGCAAAATTCAATCACCATCAAAATACTATCGTTTGCTAATCATGTAGATCCTCTCCGAACAAAATTTAATACAAAATTTGGTGTAGACAATTGAAAATATTCTTACACCAAATTTTATTTTAAATTATATAATTAAAAATTATATTATTAACAAAATCGTTAAATTAAATATTATATTTAATGAATTAAATATTGTATAAACTAATAAATTAAACAAAATACCATAATCAATTAATGCTCAATTAATTAACGAAATTAGTATATGCATCCCATACATGATCAATTAATGCATCTCAAATTGCAAATTATGCATCTATATCCTTGATTTGTCTATGTCGAGCAAGGAAGTCATGAAATCAAGTATTGATAAATAGAATAACTAATTATTACTCATTACTCGAATAAAATTTAAAAATAAATGTTAAATTAAAATAACAATCACATTAAAACAATATGAATAAACTAAAATCAATTAATTCTAAAAGATAAAAAAAAGGATATGGATGGAACAAAAATTGTTTGTAAAGGGAAAAAGGGGGGCAAATGGGGAAAAGTGAAAAACTTCAAATTTGGTGTAAATAAATAGCGTTACACCATATTTGCCATATCATTGGAGAGCATTTTACAATTTCACACAAAATTTTGCCATCCCATTGGAGATTGTCTTAGATCTCCTTTTAGGATCCGGTGCACCAAAAATAAGAGTTCAAGGAGTCAAGTGTCCAACGAAAAATAGTAAGAACTAATTTGCAACATATTCTATAGGATGGGGACTTCTACGTAATTTACGATTTGGAGAACTACTTATCCCCGTTCGGTGTAGTTAAAAATCACATTTTTAGTATATTTGGATAAACTATAATGAAATATGTAGTTGAAAGATTATGAATCCCACATGTGTGTGATTAACATTACAAGTTGAACTTAATTTGAATTTTAGTCTATTATTCAAACTACACCAAACAAGACCGGGTATTTTTATTTGGATTAAAACTTATGCAAGAATTTTTTTAGGTTCTACAAATAAAACAACCCTATACAATTTAATGAATTTATGCATAAAAATAACACAATCATGCTACATTGACGGAATATTTTGCCCACTTCCTTCACAAAATGTCATATGACATTCTGTCAATTAGACTGTTTAAAAAATAATCAATTTTTGCATTCAATCATCTGTTGTCAACACTATAACTGTCGAATAGATGGGTAAAATCATCTGACAAAATGGCTCAACTCAAAATAACATCCTCTAGTATGTTAACAACTCCAATTTGCTCTTCTAACTACGGTTAAAAAGACAAGAACGCCCTTCGAATGAATATTTCGAAATGAGATAAGAATATCTATAATGGATAAAGGAGATATTAATCTTGCGTTGTGAAGATATTTTTGTGATTTTAAATTTAATATTGTCTAAGATGGTAAAACACAAATTATATAAAGAGTTTTTATTCAAATAATAGTCTTACATACCTCTGTTTGGTAGGCATTTTTGTGGAGATGATGCATTTTTTTGTTGATGTGATGGGGAATATATGATTAAAAAGGAAGGAAAAGTTATTGATGAATAGAAAATATTATTTTATTGAAAAATGTGTCATTGAAAATAAGTAGAAAAATGACTCAAACATAGATATATTGAAAGCAAGTAAATCTAAGCTCGACGTGATACACGAGGGAACAGAAGAAAAGTCTTCGCCTATATAGGACTTCTTGAATACAGTATCTTGTCCTTTGACTTCTTGAGTACTTGAAAATAAATTCAAACTACTCGAAAATTTTATTAGCCCTGTTTTGGGTAGTTAAAAATTAAATTCTTAATAAATTTTGGTAAAATTGATAAAATATATGATAAAAATTGTAGGTTCCATAAAAGATATGATTAAATTAATTGTTGATTTTGATTTAAATTTTTATTAAAATTTTGAACTACACCAAGCACAAACTTAATCTTTTTAGGACGAACAATTGTGAAGACCACAAAATGCATGGACGATAGCGAGAAATAATTTTAAATTATGATTGAAATTAGAGTTCGACTGTATTTCAGTAAAAGTAACTTCTAATTTACTTATGTTACCCAAAATAAGGCATAAAGGATTTTAACCATAATGTGAAACATGTACTTGTACCTTCCTTTGGAAAACATGTCACGAAATTATGAGAAGCATCATCATTAAGATAGTTCGTACCTTCGACATATACATATTGTCAAAATACGAGATTTTAAAAATGAATTATGTCACTTTATCAGAATAATTTTGATGGATGCGGTAACATAAATTTAGGTGACGGTAGATAATTGTACGAAAAATTAACTGTATTTTAAACAGTGTAATAATATGTTGTCATGTGACATTATGTTAATCTTTATATCAATATATTTGACATTGTAGCCTGATAGTTTAATAAGTCATATTAAGCTGGTTCATAAATTGTTCCACCTATTGTCTAGGTAGAAGGCTCATGTGAACATTTCCAATTGGCTTGATTTATACTAAAAAAATTAATAGAGGTCCCATTTCTATTCAATATGAAAATATACATAATTTATACTACTAGTGAATTCTACATGTAAATTATTTATATGTTACAAATTCTTTAA